TTTTCATATTTATCCTACTATTTTTGAAGGAAGAATTGAATAATTTTCTTGGCTCTGCCTTTAATGCTCATTTGATATTTTTTCCTACTTGTATCTTGCCTTGTACTTCAGTGTTCTGCTCATCTAAACTAGGGAAGTGTGCGCCACATATTTACCCATTATATTGTTTTAATCTAAATGTCATATCTAGACATGAAATTCCTTTTTACATGAGCATTGAAGGTGGGAGTGCATTCTCTAAAAGTACAGATGAATAGATTTTTTTTTCCCCCTCAAGAAGTGAAACTTACTATGCAAAGGGCCAATAAAAGACCTGTGCACTAGTGAGTGTTGATTTAAGGCTTCTAAAGTTGTTTGAAAAACCTGTGCTGATCCTTCGCATAGGGGCAGAATGTCAAAAGCTGAGGAAAATACAGGGGAAATTAAGAGGATTCTATTGCACTTTTGAAATTTTCTTTTCTTTTCAGGAGTTGCAGAGGCAGAAAAAAGTCCAATATTAAGTAGATTCCTTTTTTGAACCAGTTAGTGACATGGCCAACCTATACATTTCAAATTTATGAACTGGATTACAAAAGCTGTGGAGATTTTAAAAATATTCCTTGTTTTTTTGGCTTTCATTTGAACCATCAACAGGATACTCTCTCTGTAGAATTCATGTGGCCTAATTACAAGCTCTAAATTCAAACTTAAATACACACACACACACACACACGTGTCTACCTTCCCCCACTGGCTGTTTACAGAATACTCCACTGACCATCTTTTTAGTTCTGAAGTAATGGAGCGGTCGTCCGTTCTTCCCTCCCCACATATTTCCAATTTCTCTCCTCCAATTACTCAGTTACTCTTCCCCTCAGTCTTTTCATGTTTCCAGTCTCCTACTAACCCCTATGTTCAATTGCTCCCATGTTTTCCCTGTCTTTCCATAGTGCTCCCCCCTCTGATTATTCCTTAGTCTCCTGTGGTTGCTTCTGCCTGCAATTTAGTTTCCAGACTATTTACTCCAAATGGAGGCCAAACTTTTGGCAGGTGTGACACAAATTAACTCTGGACCACTCCCAAATGACACTGATTCCTTCCCTGGACTAATCTGCTTTCTGCTCCCTACCCTGTGTTGCCTGTCTGATCTGCTGCTCTGCTTTATGTTTCCTTCCCTGTACTCCCTGCCAAATCTGCTACTTTGCTTTCTGATCCCTCCACAATCTGCCATGTGCCACACACAAAGGCTGACAGTGCCCCTTGTGGCATGCATACTATATATTGGCCACCCTGATCTACTCAATCCCTCATAGTTTTGACCCATTTTCCAAACTACATAGAGTCCATAAAGAAATCAACTTTCATAAAGGCATTCTGTAGTTTCCGACCATAAACATAATGGAAGGTGATGGTAGCCAATTTGAATAAGAGAAAAAAACAAAAAAGGAAAACAGCTGTGGAAGATCATGAGAACAGGAAAATGAGACAGTGGCTCAGGAGTGGCCAACTTAATTCAAGACGTACATAAAAAGATACTACTTTACACTTTGAAAATATCAAAAATTTTGGAAGCCAAGATTTTAGAACAAATCCATATGAAAAAGAGGGTGCCACTGCTGATAAACCCAGTAATCCTCACGTTTCCTTACCCCTATTTTCAAATTACTCTTCATAGGCCATGTCTACATGAGACACTGACTGTGCAGTTCTTACTACACAGTCATTTAGTACTTGTATAAGTATAAACAAGTACTAAATGACTGCACAGTAACTCCAGTTACTAGAGTTACTGTGCAGTAGTGTTGCCAAACAGCTTTTAGGTGATGCTGACTGCAGCAGCTCATTACTACTACTACTACTGTGCAGTAGCTTGTTATATGCATCCTGTCACATGACACTACTGCGTAGTAATAACAAGCTACTGTCCAGTCAGGATCTGCTGTAGACGCAGCCATAGTTGACTGCTATTCTCTGGCCATGTGAATTCAGGAGTACATGATACAGTCCTATATCAGAAAGCAAACTCCTGGCTTGAAATCATGTTGATTCCAGTCCAATATTCCCACAATCTTATATTACATTTTTTTTAAGGTGAAATTATTGTCTTTTTTTAAGATTATGTAATTAATGCTTTGCCAGGGAAATTGTTTGCATAACCCTAGGATAGGGAGGAAAATAAACTAGGAAACAACAGAAGTTAGGGAGTAAGACTCAATTTTATGCTCCTAAATCCACAATAAAGTTTGTTAAAATGCAAGCAGTTTGATGTTTGAAAGCAATTAGTATCCATGAAGCCTATTGATTGACCAGAATTCCCAGTTGTGCAACACCCATGAAAGCACTTAAATATGGATTTAGGAATCTAATTTTCAGGCATCCCAGTTTGATTCTAAATGCCTAAATGGATTATAGACAGACAAGTTGAAATTTTGAGCCTGTCAGATATGTCCTTGAAAGATCCCGCTGGCTGACATGAGTAGGTGGTACACACAGATATTTGAAGGCATATTTACATAAGTGATTATGAGTAATTTATTTTTCTGTATTTTAACTGACTGATTTATGGCTGCTGTTTATAGGATTTACCTGGGGTATAACTTATGTCTAGAAGGTGTTTTTTTTCTGTGAATTAGGTAGTTGTTCCTGTAATATTAACTCCCATGGACTTACATGAAAAAGAATCAGCGCCTTTGCACAAGTTTAAGTAAATGGTTTATGTATTTAATGTACAGCTATCAGTTATGCATGTTATTTTTCAGAGGACAGAAGTGATTTGTTTGAGTATGCAAGTCAGACACTTTTAACATGGCCTCTATTCTGTTAAAAGGATGCAGTTCTCCTGACTTCACTGTATTCAAACAGTTAACAACTCACCTAAACTCTGCTTAAGTGTGAAAAGCTAAGCTAAACTATCTGGGATTGCAGTCCTGGGTAGCATACAGACTTTACTCTTTAACAGCCTAATCCTGGAAAGTTCTGAGCCCTTAACTCTTGTTGAAGTTAATGGCAATTAAGAGCTCTCATCAGGATGCATGACAGAGCCATAAGATACAGAAAAACAGTAATCAACCTTGTCAGAGTCCAAGAATAGATAAGCATGGGCCGCCTATAACTATACAGTCAGAGCCCTTTGCCAAAAACAGAGATAAAAGTGAAAGGATTTCTCTACAGGACCAATATTTACAAATATTTTACATATATACATATTTATATATTTATTTATACCTGGACATTATGGCATTAAAGGGATCATTTATACTTTACAAATAAAACATTTTAAAAATGTATATATCATGAAAAAAACTTTTTATTGCTTGCCTTCAAACCTCATACACTTTATCAGACTATTGCACACATCTCTTCATTACATGGAAGATCTACATTTATATATAAATATATATGAAAATAAGAATATTTCTATTTTAATGTTTCAAGTAAAGTGCTCATTTTTCAAATAATGTTGATGAATAAGGATAATTTGATTGGAAGAATTAAGGGAATACACATTTCATTAGTGTTTCTCCCCTTTATGTGTTAGGGAATATATATTTTTAATTATTGTTCAGGTCTGTCTTTACTTTAAATTCTACTAATAAAATGCATTTGTGACCTTGGCGTCTATACTATCATGCAAAGCACAAAATAGATTCACATAAAAAAACAAAGAAAATACAAGAAAATAAAACAGAAAATAAAAGCAATGTCAGATTTTGTCATTGTTTCCATGTATTAAGATAAGTCTTTTATTCATTTTTAGAAATATTTGTACACCTTTGTTAAACTCTGAACATACCTATTTTATGCACTAGACTCAAGTACTGTACAAAACTGCAATAAATGACACTATACGACTACATATGTTTCTACTATAAACACACCATCGTAAGGGTGCATCGCTTTTAAAATGTCAACTAATAACTGCTAATGTATATGTGAATCAAAATATTTTTGATTGGCCAAGTATATTAAAATCTAGATATAGTACACAATTATTTTTATATTATGATTTACCAGGCCTTTAGGGGCATAAAGAATATCTGCAAAGGTTCAGAGAAAAAGTAAATTTTACTGATAGGTATTAAATAGTCCTATAAAATTGCAAATGGCAGCTCCGATTTTGCTATTTTTGCATATATGAAATTGTTGATAATTACTGATGATGCATAAATGCATATTAAAAATTCAAATCTTAGCAAAACCATTTTTAGTATACAAATTGTAAAGTTATGTCAGTGAAATGTAAAGTTGCAATTTACAAAAGCAGCAATACATCTGGCCCCTTAGGACAACTTCTTGGACTGAATTCATGAACTGTTGTTTCCTCTGAAAATAATGGCTTCTGTAGGCAGATATAAGGAAGCCATTTAAGGCAGATTTGACTCTATTACTAAGCAGAAAAAAGAGTATCTTTTATTTCTGATATACTTAACCCTGAATCATTTTGGAGTGTCCATTACCAATATTTGTGTGTGTAACATAAACATAACTAAAACTAACAAACAAGCAAACAGACTTTCCTGACCATGCTGAACAGGGAAATGAGCTAAGCGACTTGAAAAAATATTGAAAAGAAAACCAAAATATTTTCTAGTAGACACTGATTGATGCTAAACAACATATACTCATTAACATGAGTTTAAATCATTCTTTAATAATTTCAAAGGTCTATAACTAAATAATTAGTTTCCTTAGTATTCTAGTAAACTTTACTCAATTTTAAAAGCAAAAGTAGTATTCAGAATGGCTGTGAACAAGAGAACAGCAAGAGCTCACCACTCTATATATGTACATGGGCACTGCTATTATATGAAATAATTATCTTTTTAAAAAAATCACTTTTTTAAATGATAGGTTCTTCCATTAAATTATTATCAGTTATTTTATAGAAAAATATTTTAACTTTAAATTAAAAAAATACTGTTCCTAAATAATTCTGCAGGACCATATTTTCATTTCCTTGCAGGGAGGGGTTATACTTCTGTATATTTGAAACCTGGGTTAAGAGAACTCCCCTGGGTATAACTTTTAAAGAGCTCGCTATATTTGCCATGGGTGCTATCTGTTTACAAATCCCATGAATAAACAGTGTGCCTCCTTTGGAGATACACAGATAAGCTATCTATATACACTCTGTACATATTGGTTCACAGATTAGCAGTTATTAGTCGTACTGTACATAGGAAACCAACCTATCTGATTATAATGATGCTATACACCCCCAGTGCAATTTGGCTTTTAGGTTGATGGGGCAAAGCCAAGTAGGACAGGTTCTCTATTTAAATATGTAGCCCAGTACACTAGGTTAAAAGTACCAAATAAGACTGGAAACACTATTCTGGACATTCTGTCAATTTTGCTAACACTGTTGAATGTTTTCTTTGCTTCCTGTGGCTTGGCTTCTGGTTTTGCCTTGTTGGGTTCTGCAGTTGTAGCACTCTTGGAGATTGTTGGTAGAACCGAGTCCTTGGTAATATTTGGAGCATAATTGGCAACAGCCACTGCATAAGCATTATTTTTCTTAATGACGGATGCTTTTTCTTTTTTCTATTGGAAGACAGCATGAAATTAAATATTTATTGCATTATACACTTGGTACACCAGTTTCAGTAAGCCACCACATCACAAAACATAAAACAAACAATAAGTTGGTAAAATAAGAATCAGCATGTACTATAATGAGAAAGCAGTATGTAGAGGAGAAACCCTCACTCTCAGAGAGAGAAGGTATTGTTTCACATGCCAATCCTATGCAAGGGTCTGTAAATAGAGTCTCTTATATCACCTGAAGTTCCACTAAAGTCAAAGAGACTCTTCAGGAAATAAGGGTTTGTGTACTGTGGAAATCTTTGCAGGTCTGAAATCTTAGAACAACAGCTACTGCCTAGGTTGACAGAGCTGGCCTCTGAAAAGCACTGCAATCTTTACTTTTGACTCAATGGTAAAAGTATGGCTGTAACGAATGGCAAAAGGCCAACAGGAGTTGGAAGTGCCTCAGCAACACAAAATGGCAACCCAGAATAAAAGGTAGGAGTGACAAATACAATCTTACTCCGACTGACCCACTATACAGTCCTTGCTTTAGTAAATCGAGGGGACCATTCTAAAACAGTCCATTTGATGGGACAGGTAATGACAGATTGAACATTAAATGGCAAAACAAAATATAGGTCTGTGCATACTTTTGAACACGTTAAGATCCAGCAATGGAACAAGGTGCATACCTGAGGATTGTCAGTACTACTGCCCTTTATAATCACTGCCTCAATTATACATTATCTTATCCCTGCTTCACATTTGAAGGCAATGAGGATTGCCAGTAGCCATTCCCACTCCCACATCCCTTTCTTTTCCCTGCTTATTCCAAAGCTACATGGAGATGAGGTATAGATTAGCTCTCTTGTACTATTATATGCACAAAATGTGGACTAGAAGTTATACATGCATGCATGGTCCACAAAACTTTTCCACTCCTCCTTTTCCTTCTCCTGTTCTCTGGAGAATCTACCTGTGGATTATATAAGAAAGCATGTTTTAAAATGTCTAACCACCATTTCTGTTTTCCCTGTTTCTGTTGTTTTGTGTACTTTTGCATTCACTCAGCTGGGTTCATGATTTTAAAAAGCCTGATTTCCTTTCTTTTCAGTTAACCCCATTTCACATGTGCTAACAAAATAATGTACTGTTTAGTTTGAAAACACTGTAGGGGAATAGATAAAACATAAAAGTTTTCATTTACATATCTCTGCAAAGAATAGGATGAAACAGCATTATGATCAGAGAGATGTCTCATTCTAGGAGGTTCATAAGTGACCACTGTTTTGGTTTGTTTTTTTGGGGCTGGGGGGCTGGGGGGAGAGATTTTGTGAAATTCTCTTTGCAGGAGTTTCATTTCAATTGTGGCACAGATAGAAGTGACAATTTTCACCCGATCTGGCCACAGAAAGCAGTCTATAGCCATGACTAAACAAATGCAAGATTGCAGACAGCTTCAAAAAGGGCTGATCAGCCAAATATCTGAACCCTCACTGCATTTCCCATTCTGAAATCTTTGCAGCCTCGCAGGGCCATTGCTCATGGAAACTGGCTGCAGGCTCGCAGCCAGCAGCTATATTCTCTTTCTCCCTGGAACCAACAGTGAACTTTTGTTTTGTCCCAGGGATCATTGCAACTCAGAACGCTTCCTGCAAAGCATTCTCAGGTACAGCAGGGAGCTACACTTCTGTCTGCACCCTTGGTGGTTAGTTCCCCTGACTTCAGGTTGAAAGATAGTTAGTTCCCCCAATTCCCTTTACTAAAGATCTGTGGGGATTTCCTAGTTATCAGGACCATCTGTACAATCTGGAGTTTGAGGGTAAAAGCATGCAATGCAGGGCTGTGAATCAAAATAACCACAGGGATATATTTCTTGGAAGATACAAAATTTCCAATGCCTACTTCAGGGTTAAATAAGAACCTAAAGTGGAATGTGAACACAGTCATTTCTTGTTGCCCTGATGAACTGCTCTTTAGCTGCTAATTGATGGACGTATAAAGTCAGAGGGAAAAAAGAATAAAATAAAGAGGAGAGGGGCACACTAGCCAACCTACAAAATCCCTTCCTTTATGACAATGTGTGATTTTAATATTGTAGTCCTCTTGGGAACGTTGAAACTTTAGCTTTGAAATCTCAGAAGATAAAAAGATAAGAAAATATGAAAACAAATACCTCAATATTATAAACACTCTGGTATGGAAAAGCTAATTTTGTTTCAAATACAATGACTAAATTTCAAATATTTAAAAAGAGAGTTACTGGATTGATCATACTTATTATATGGTTTCTTAGAAGACTTATTGTTTTCAACTGACCATATGTAATTGACTTTGAAATAAAAGTAGATTATTTTCATAATGGATAGTTCAAAAGCAGTAAAGTACCAATACTGAGAGAAGGAGCACATTGTATAGTATTTACTACAACAGGAAACAGAACTGGATACTTTAGATTTGCAAGAAATAAAATGAAGAAAATATCAACCAATTCATGATAAGGAAAGGGGTTTTCATATGAAGAATGACAGTCTGAAGTAGATGAGCTGTTGATGCCAGAATACTAGAATTTGGCCTGTATAGTCCTCTCTCCAGGGAAGGCATGCTAAAGCTGTTAAGCAGCTGCCACTTTTAAAATCATGCCACAACACTGTTACGTTAATTTAGAGAAACAGCTGAAGGATGATCGGAGAGTTCTTAAGGTCTTCTTACATCATTATATTATAGTGACAATGTGCCAGTCAGAAATGCTTAATTTGTTTGACATGCAGAATTTATTCCTAGACTCCTGATTCTGCAGTTGTGTTACATGTACTATACCTATTCAATGGATTCAAACTTCAGGATGATGTTTTTTCAGGAAAGTCTCAGCAGCCTCTTTGTGTCTGTGCACTTAAGAAATCAATATATCTTATTTATATGAAGAAGCATCCATACTCCAATATTTTGTCTGATCTCAGTTTACATTTAATTTTAAATTTGCTGCCAACAGGCAAGCAGGGATAAGCTTGTGGCGTTCTGAGCCATTTTCAAATACACTGAAGTCCATTACTAATATAGTTTTTAAATGGAGTAGGTGCTGGGTATCATCCAATTGTATTTCTGATCCTCAACCATCAGTCATTTTCATAGAAATAATTCCTCAAATTTTATGATTTCTTTGGGACCTCTAATTAAATTGGGTTAAATTAAGGTGAGCTCATTGGTCAATATTATCTGGAGAAAAATTTCTTTGAAAAACAATGTAAATTGAAGTGTGTCTGATGGGATAAGAAACAGGGCTGTGCAAAGCTTCGGTCCCTGATTCGATTCAGCAGAGATTCAGCCTGATTTGTTGGCTGAATCTCTGAACTGAATCAGAGGACCCTTTAATCTTTCCGAATCGATTCAGAGAAATTTGGAAAGATTCGGACATAGAGACAGCTTTAAATGTTTTTTCTACATACCTCTAGGTAGCAGGGGCTCGTGAATGCTGCAATGTTGGGGCACATGGAACAGCCCACAGAAGCATGGGGGGCTCCCCAGTGTGCTTGGCAGTAGACCTGGAAATGGACCAGAGGCACTTCCGATCCACTTCTGGGTCTGCCGGGGACTGCACAGGGGCCCGCCCTTGCACCTCCCTGGCTCAGCGACTGGTGCCTCCTGGTTCTGGGGGGGCACCCAGGGTCCCCCTGTGGCCAATCACCGAGCTAGGGAGGTGTGTGTGTGTGGTGGTGGGGGGGATGCAGCATGCTCCCCAGCAGACCTGGAAGTGCACTGGAAGTACTTCTGGTCTACTTCCAGGTTCACCACTGAGCATGTGGAGGGCCCCCCTGGACTCCTGTGGGATGCTCCATCAGCCCCAGCATCGCAGTGATCATGAGCCACACCTACTACCTCAAGATATGTAGAAAAAAACATTTACAGTTGTTTCTATGTCTGAATCACTGATTCACCAAATCAGCATCAAATCTTCAGATTTGGATTCAGACAAATCAAATCAGGGACAGTGATCCGAATCAACTAATTGAATCACTGTTCCTGGCTCAGGCCAAATTTGAATCCAAATCGAATAGGGCCCGTTTCGCACACTCCTAATAAGAAATGCAGTTGTTCTTTACTAAATATTTATTTCACTTAAAATATATATTTAACAGTGGACTCTGGGTGATTTGAAAGCAGGCTTGGAGAGCCACACTGTCATCAATGTTAGTCTGTTTTTATTCAAGATTTAAAATAAGAGCTAAATCCTGATATTTTCACGTAAGTGAAATTCCTGTTTTGCCTGCATCTCATGATCTCTCAGCCATTAATACCTGAGTAAAATGGCTATACTATGTGGTCTTGTTAAGGCTCTGTACATAATTCATGACACTCCAGTATACTTATTTTACCAAATGTCACTTTTTGGCACTAGAAATAAAACATGCAGATAATTCAACATACTTTTCATTGAAGTCAGAGTGAGTCTTTCCACTGACTTCAATGGCTGGGGCCTAAATGCTACAAATTGTCAAAGAGTCTGCACTATGTGATTACAGAGGGCTACATTTTCAATAATAAGGTCTAACATTTTGCCTGTAATATGTTAGCACATTTGTAAAATATGTAATTATAAATGCAAGACAGATTGCTGTGTTTATTTTATGCATTCAATTAATTGTATATACCCATACTTTGCCACTGCTTTTTAGACCCCTGTTTTTGAATACTGTATAGGAGAAGAATTTGAGACTGACCTACTTAAACACTAAGAGACGTTACAGTTAACTTAATGGACAAAGTATAATTAAGAAGACTGAATAGGGAGACTGGGAATCAGGAACTACAAATCCTGGGTCTAAGATGAACATAATGGCTTTTTTCCCTGATCAAATTTGTGGTGCAAGTGGCCTGGTGCCATCTCAAGAGCATGTCCAGGGATTAGGCACTCTTCATATCACAAGACAGTCTGTATTGAGAAGCCAGAGTATGGTGTCAAGGCAAGGGACTGTGCCAAGTCATTTACACCATTTGCAAGCTCCTTAGTGTGAGTGCCAGTGGAAGGGGTATATTTCTTTGGCAGCATGCTGAAACAGCAGACTGCAGCACAGTAACATGTTAGGTATAGCTATCTCACAATTGTGAGCATAGGCTGATATTAAATTATTAAGATTTGTACAGCACTAATAGATGATTGGAAGAAAATACAGCAAAATAGTAACACCTACGCTTTAAGTAGAAATGCTAGTATTTATTAAGAAACATTATTTGGTTAAATATTAACCAATTCAAATGCAGATTCAAGATTATTGTATAATATCTATCTCCTTAGCAAGTGGCTGGCTCTTTTTGTGACTTTCCCCACATGCTGATAAGAGTGGTCAAAAGAAGTGCAAAACATGCAGTGCAGACAAATGTGCAAAAGGTTAAAAGCTGAACTGTACTAAGCATGGCACTGCTGCGTTGGAAGAAAGTCATCCTGACTGACAGGGAGGGAAGGGGGTTGGAGAATGTTGAAGAGAATGTAAGTGCTTAAATGCAATCCAATATATAAAAACTGAATCTAGAACTGGCATTGTATGACCTTCACTCCTACTGCCAGTTTGGGGTATGTTTATGATCTGCACTTGAAAGAAACTCTGAAGCAGTATGTTCTTAAGGGCCAGCCACTGAAAGAAATATGCTGTATTTTCTCGTAACATATACCCACAAATAAGACATGTACCTTATTTGGGGAAGGCAGAATGAAGAAAACAAAGATTTTTCCAGTCATGGCTGAATCCTGACCACATGAGATCCTGACCACATGGCTCAATTTTGACTGGTGCTGCTGAAGCAAAAGCTATTGCCAATTTGGCAGCATCTGTGAAAGGGTTAAAATTAAATGCTACAGATTGCACTTCCTGCCCCTCTTTGGCTAGAAAATGACAGACCTAGGAGCCACTGCAGCATGGTTCAATTCCTACAAAGAAATGGTTCAATTCCTACAAAGAAATCAGCTTCCTCCTTTGAGAGAGACCCCAATTTTAGAGGGCTGATTTTTGCAGTAAAAGGTATTATGCAAGTAAATCTGGCATTACATTCTAAGAAAAGAGCATCTCTAAGAAAAGGCTAGCTTCTAGGGCTGTGTGAAGCTTTGGGTGCTGATTTGATTCGGAGGATATTCGGCCCGATTCAGTGGCCAAATCTCCAAATCCGAATCGAATCAGGAGACCAATTAAAAAGTCTGCATTGATTCAGAAAAGATTCAGAGTGCTTCAGCGATTTGGGCAGTTCCCACTCGCTGCAGCAGTGAGCTGGACCCCGGACTCCATGATGGTAAGTAGGGGCCAGGGGAGAGGAGACTGGAGGAGGGGGGACGGGACCATGGGGGAACCCCCACCAGGCCCCATCCCCTGCCTGTCCCCCCCCAACCAGCCTGAGTGCCCCTGACTGCCGCATGCTCTCCTAGCACGCCCCCATGACTGTCCTACCCAGCTCCAACCCCAGCTCCTGGCTCTTTAAAAAAAAAAAGCCCCCATTCACCGGCTGCTGCCAGGCGGGGGGAGGGGTGCCCCCCACTGCCGCTCACTGCCCCATGCTGTGTAGGGGGCTGTCACAAGCCCCCCGACCCCTCCCACTCTCCCAGCCCTCCCCCCACCTTGGCTGCCCTGCCTGACCCCAGCTTCTGGCTTTAAAAAAAAAAAAAAAAAAAGCCCCAGGATCACCAGCTGCTGAAGCAGCCTCAGGGCTTCTGGGGGCCCATGGAGGGGCCCCGGGCTCATGGCAGAGCCCCTCATGCAGCATGGGCAGAGGGGGCAGCATGGATTGCCTCCCCTGCCTGGCAGCAGCTGGTGAGTGGTTTTGGTTTTTTTTTTTGTTTGTTTTTAAGAGCCGGGAGCTGGGACAGCAGGCGGGGGATGGGGCTGATTCGGAGATTTGGCCAAATCGGCAGTGGCCAAATCTCTGAATCAGATTCAGCCAAATTTATTTGAGACAGTCATTCAAATCACCAAATCAAAACACTGTCCCCCAAATCAGCCAAATCTGAATCCAAAGCAAATACTAGCTCCTTTGCACAGGCCTACTAGCTTCCTAACCACCAGGCCAACTTGTGTTTGCTGAGAAATCATACCAATAAGTAGGTATTTGCTTGAACAATTGCAAAAATGATATTAGTATGCAAGAAGAATTTTCAGGTAGTATAGCAGTTTCACAAAACCAAGCAAACCTCATCTTATCAAATTAAACTGTTAAGGATTTATAAGTACTTGCATTTTGCAGTGCTTTCAGAGACATAGTTCTTGAGCCCAGATTGAGGTGCTACCTGACACACTGGTCCACCAGGAGTTTGCAGAGTATTCATTTAAACTGCATATGTTCCAATTATGTATATAAAGACCAATAGAAGTAAAGAACAAGAGAGAAAAGGTTAACTAAAAACAAAGAAAAACAAAAGAGGAGCATGGAATAGTATATCCAATGTTCTGAAACACAATGGATGGAAATATTGTATACCCATTTTTCTTAAGCCTAAAGATTGTTTTACACAAAAGTGTTACCTAGATAGTATTAGTTTCACACAAAGAATCGACTATGTGTTATTAATTCAGATTTTCAGATTTTTTGTTTACTTTTAAAAAGACACAGAAGACTATTGCGCAATCTGGAGAGAGACTTGAGATAATATTTTTGTATCTCAAAGGGATATGGAAAAAAATCCTTATATACTGTTTAACTTCTGCTGGCATTTCCAAAGTATTCATCTATTTTCACTGACACAATTTGATCTTTTTTATTGTTTAATTAGAATAAGTAGGTGTATAAAGAAGTTTTATCATCACTTACCTTATCATTGACTACACTTTTTCCATCCCAAGCCCATCCTCTTTTTGTGAAGTAATTTACAGTGGCAAATTCTATCAATGCAGAGAATACAAAAGCATAACAAACAGCAATAAACCAATCCATAGCTGTTGCATAAGCTACTTTTGGGAGAGAGTTTCGAGCACTGATGCTCAGTGTTGTCATTGTAAGTACAGTTGTTACTCCTGTTGAGGAGAGGAGAAAAGAAAAATGTCAGTTACTTTAATGGGCTATAGAACTGAAACATCTTACAGCATATTTTTAGGAATGATAAGAAAGAAGTATCATACAAGTGAATCAAACCATTTTGTAGCAACACAGAAAAAAAGGAGATGTTGATAAGCCTGCTTAAAATGCCAATGTACCTTCATCACCTCATAGTTTACTTCTGAAGCATAGGGCCCCAACTTGGCCAACTTGAGGGCACCCTGACTTCAGTTGCATAGCAAACAATGGGCTGTGGTAGACGTCAGCTATCTTGACTGAAGATAGCCTGTGGCCTTCACTTGGAACAGCAAAGTCTTTACTAGTGGCTGTACCACTGCCACATGCAATGACAACCAAGGTAAACTGGTTAACTTGGGTGGGCAAATGTACCCCGTGGGTCAGATATAGCTTGCCAATTGATTGCATCTAGCCTGCGGCTGCCCCCATAGTCCTCCGCATGAGACAGAGCCCCACTTGCACCTACCTGGGGCAGCCTGTGTCATGCCCGCATCTGCACCCACACCTGCCAGTGGCACTGCCCTGGCCCAGTCCCAGCCCCAGCCCCAGCCCTGACCCCAGCCAGTAGGGCTGCTCCTGCAGCCGCCCAAGTACTGCTTGGCTCCTCCTACCTCCAGTGGCTCCTCCTCCTCCTGTCCCTGCTGCACCACTCCAGGCAGCAGGTAGATCATGGAAACCATGGGGATGCATGCCAAGCATCAGATACCCAGCCAGAAGTGGGGGAAGCTGTAGCTGGGTGGCTCTTGCCTCAGTGTATGGGCTTCCAGCTCCCAGCCAGTTTATTTTACATAGGGCAACTTTGTCCCCAGAGAAAATAAAACAAGCAACTGAGCAGACAGAAAACAAAACTGTCTTTCTTCAGACCTTGAGAGGCAACACCAAGGCTCTGCTTCTTCCTCAGCACCCCCACATCCTTTCTTCTTTCCCTTTGCACTCTGCTCCTGAGGCTCTCAACCCTCTCCATGGCTGCACCCTCATATGCTAGTTATCAGTTGCAGCTTTATCTCAGCCTTCCAGCCAGGCAGACTATTAACTGGTGACAACCTGCAGCTGGGTTTCAGCACCCAGAAGGCTGAGCAAATCCTTACACCCAGATATGGTTGTTTCCTTGAAGATAGTAAAAAAGGAGCCTTAGGAGGCTAGAATGGGTGGGACTAGATTAGAATCACACTTGATGCTGGAAAACATGATACTCATGAGTGTGGTACCAGCAATTCTGAGGATGAAGGGCAAGGCAGAGCCATAGATAGTAAAAAGAGTCAAGATGGAGTCTGTAAGTCTCGTGTCAAATGGCCTGATGGCACTGGTACCGAGGACAGCCCAGCCAGGATCAAATCAGTGTTATGGAGATCTACTTGAGTTAAAAGGTAATCACCTTCCCATGGTGTTACCATGTACTGAAGGTGATGATGACACCAATTTACAAAAATACTTCTTTCACCTCTTGCTATGGGAAGTCTCAACAGGAATTATGAGTCCCTGATCCACAGGAGTGGATAGACCTGAAGATTTAATGTGTTCAGCTCTACAAGTGCTTGTGGAAGGGCACTTATAGGAAGTCCAAAGAAGTAGGATACAAAATGGGAGTGCTGCATGGCACAGCTGCAAAAAAAAAATAGTAAGAGTGAGGGTGGGAACATATGGGGTATCCATTCTGAAGCCCTCAAAAATTATTGAGAAGAGAACAAAAACAAAATTAAGAAATTGATTTTGAAATATGGAAGGAAAAACTATAAGGAATAAACTGACAACCTGAGACTTAGGCAAGCACAGGCTGCAAAAAATAACTGACAAAGAAAATGCTCTGACTTAACTAGAAGACTAAGATGAACTGAAGGCAGGAGTATGTGCTCCACCATTTGTTCCTTTGGTGCAGGAGGAGGCAGAGGAGAAATACTGGAGCACAGAGTATAACTATTTCTGAGATAAAACTTTCTCTGGTCAGAGGCTCTGGGACTGAGAATACCCATATGAGAATGTGTGTGAAGAGCTGTTTGAAAGAAAGGATTTACTTTGTACAATATCTTCTCGCCCATATATTTTTATAGAGAAAAAACACAAGCTAAAAGCTCTACTCAACCACACAGAAGAAGTCACACCCAAATAACTATCATTTTTTTCAACTGTAGCATTTCATTAAAATGAATTTCTCCTGAAGAAGGAACAGTTTCAAGTACAATACATACCAGAGCTTAAACATATCTACGCGCTACTAATGACATGTCAGCCAAAGGGGAGACAGTGACAGGAAAAAAATATCCATAGCATATCTTACCTTACAATTACTACAAATAAACACATCTTTTTATAACTTGTGAAGGTTACTAAGAGAAAAAAGCACCAGGCTGCCAAAAGAGTAGGAGTAAATATTAATTCTACAGGAAGGAATTTTGGCATCAGATGAAAAGAGAGAAGCTAGGGAAAGGAAAAACTCAAGCAGAACTTTTATCACTGGATACCAGAACACCAGACTCTGTGGGATGGACCTCACCTGCACCTGTTTACTTTACCAGTGAGGTGCTTTAAAGCACCATCAAGAAAAGGGGAGGAAACAGCTACTGACTATGCTTGGTTCCCTTTTACCCTATCTCTCCAGTGTGCAGTTACAGGTATCTCTTTCTCTAGGAAGAGGATTGATATAAGCAGATTCAACTTCTGCTCTTCTATTCCTTCCTTCCATTCCAGCAGAGGACATGATTTTAAAAAAACAGAATTCTGATTGATTACCTACAGTACAGGCAAGAGATCAAACAGAAAGTAGTGTTTTGTTTTACTTCGTTTTGATTGTTTTTGTTTTCCAAAATCCACTATTTAAGGAAGTAGTATTAGTTCTAAAATCATGTCTGACATTATTATGACCGATGTGAACTGCTTACACTGTACAATGGAAGGGAAGTGGGAATGCAGAGTAAATATTCTTAAAGCGTTATTAGATTTCTGTTACAACTATCTCAAAGTATTTTTAACTGATTACTTTCAATTCTTCTTCTCAATAGAAAAAGAATTCATAGTTTAAATTCTGAAGTTACATATGTCCATTTCAATATAGGCCATGAACTTCAGATGAATCATTCTAATTATACCTTAAATTTTATATCTTATCAGAACTAGATATCACAGGTATCTAGGAAGTGATTCTCTCCAAATGATAAAGTGACCTTTGACCCTGCATCAATACACAGAGTAGCAAAGATAATTCATGGCTATTGGAGAAGACTAATTTTTTTGAAGCCACAATGGCCATTTCAGAATTCTAATTTAAGTTTGCTAGTGACTTTTTCTAATCTTGTTTTAAATGTCATTAATTTAACATCTTACATCCTGCTACCAGTTGACAATCCCTACACAAGTTTAGCCATATACTTTGCATCCTAAATGTTATTCAAACAGTGAATCACCATATACAGTTGCTAGTGAAGGTTCCTGGACTTCTATTTACTCATTCAATAAATTCAATGATGTCCAGGAAATCAGTATTCACCTATAGTGAATGAGGAACAAATTAAAGAGAAAAAGTTATACTACAATTTCAAACTTTGAATATGGGTGTCTGTGGCACTTTTATACTTATATTCCTCTTCAGTTAAAAGGCAGCAGAATCGAATAGTAGAATTAACCAAAATGGAAAAAAAAAGCCTGTATTACCAGGTTCCTTTAGAATGAAATAATTTTCCACTATTGGATATGCGAAGGCTAAAAAAATTACTATTGTTGAAGAACTGGGCCCAATTAACACAAAACAAAACAAAACAAAAGTTATCTCATCCACCTTACAAAGATGGGACAAAAATCAAGTATGTATTAAACAGATCATACAGTGCAACTGCTATAAAATATATTAGGGAACTGATTTGCTATCCTATTATCCAAACTTTAACTTTAGTACAGTAACCCTTGTATAAGAGGGGTGAGAGAGGATCATGAGTAGATTTCCCTTCTACTGATAGTCAGCACTTCTTTTAAGGAAAGTAATCACCTGCCTTTTCGTGCAATAGTCTGAGCAGGACTACTGATTTAACAGACTGACCAAGATCTCAACATCCTTTTTTAAGAATAAAACTGATAAAGATGTGAAAAATAGACTGTAAATACACCTTACCTCTTATAATATCCTCTCTCTCCCAATCATACTTCAGAAATAACACTGAATGCATGTCAAGAAAAGTTTCCTTCCATTTGTGTCTGGCCATAACCACACACCCCATCCTGTCAGATAGCAAGACCATCCATAGGACTGGCAAAGAATTCTTAGGGAGATCTCTCACCTCCTCCTGAAACTGTTTATTACTATGTTGTGCTTGGTTTGTTCTGGTCAGGCCTGAAGAATAATGTCTTGCATTCAAAAGCTTGTCTAACTCTATCCCAATTATACAGTTGGTCTAATAAAATACATTGTCCTAAGAAATCCTCACCTCTCACACAATTTCTGGATATCACAGCTATAACAGCTATAATTCTTACACTACCATTTATAGGACTGCAATTTCTACATTTATATTTAAACTTTTCAAAGATTTCCCCATCAACTGTATTTAGTTTAACAGTATAAAGGTGTTTTTTTCTCACTGTCTGCAAATACATCTTGGAACTGAAAGTCAAGGTTGTTTCTTTCTTCTTGTAAAAATAAAGGTTCTTCCTAGGGCTATACCTGGATAATACTGCCACCTTTTTCTTGTTTCTCCACTTTACTGGTTATTCTTTGGCTAGAAACATGTTTGCAACAGGGTTGTCTATGTGATTGAAAATGATATAGGAAGTGGCAGCACTATTGCATACGGGTGGGCAAGTAATGCCTATAACATCTAGATATTCAAAGGTGTTCATCCTGTAAAAATGTTTGAGATGTCCTATGTTAGCACACAATCTATCTATCCTTTAGCATGATATGCATGATCTAACTGCTGTAGCTCCAAATCAGAAATCCAGGAAAAACAAAATGAGCATTAAAAAGTCCCAGGAA